TTTCACAAAGGGGGACCACCACCCCGGTCTGCCAGTCCAGAGGCACTGTCCCCAACCGCCATGCGACGTTGCAGAGGCGTGTCAACCAAAACAGCCCCACAACATCCAGAGACTTAAGGTACTCGGGGCGGATCTCATCCACCCCCGGTGCCTTGCCACCGAGAAGCTTCTTAACTACCTCTAAATCTCTGCAGTATTTCTAAAATGCTGAACTATTGATTAAAGAAGAATTAACTAAGATTTTACATTACATTCATGACAGCTTTTCTAAATTGTGTTTTCAAAATAAATTAGCCCCACCTGCCACCTGGTGAAGGTTATAAGAAGCATTTTTCCAACTACGGCTAGTCCTTTCAAGCCCCCAGTGATAGAGGACCCCTCAGCAGCAGTCTGAAACAGTGGCTGCCAAACTGAAGAGGTCATATACTTTTATAAAGACAGTGGGACGCAGAAAGAGCAAAATCCAGGGTTAACATCAGTTTGGCTTTTTGAGTCAAATTTGGTTGAGATGCGGTGTTTTTTCCTCTGTATGCATTAGCATCTAAAGTGAATGTGTTTGCTTTGCTAACTAGCTTTGGGCTGGAGGCTATATTTTATACAGTTTTCTGCAACCAGGCATCCATAGTTGTGCTATGAAACTCTTTGGTGAGGAAACAGGATGTGATGGGAGAGGCAAAAAGTGGTGAAGAACAGCTCATGGTGTCAGTTTGTTTTAAGTCTCATTCGACCTTCTAGTGGCTAAAATTTGCAGCTAAGAAATTAGGCAGAGTAACTTTAAGAATGGCAAATCAAACTCAAGTAAAAGAAAAGCACAAAGGTTGTTATCATACTGTATAAGCAAACCTGGACACGTCCATTCCTCCCTCACTCACCTTGCTGCAGTATTTTGCCAAAGTACTTGCTGTGGCTGGTGCAGTTCCACCGGCGGTATCTAAACTGGTACTGGCACTCCCTGACGCCCAGCCTGGCACCTTTGGCCACCTCACTGATAATCTCCGGCTGAGTCTGGCACAGCTCAGCTTGCTTTCCTGCAAGACGCTTTGCCTTCCTGCATATGCTGTTGGGATCCATGACCAGCGGACTGCCCACCGCCCTACAAAAGTTTAAACAATGTTAGATAAGAGATTAATCTCTAAGTAACAACAATATGACAACAACAGAAGTTAGCCATGTTGTGCTTTTTGAGCAACACCTGGTAACTGTGCAATAAACAATGTGAGTGCACTCAACTGCAGCCAGAAGGCAAATGTAGACTAAGTTCTTCTTCTGTGGCTGCTAAGCCTGCCAACTCTACCCACCGCATCTCAGCCACAGCAACAATGTCCTTCTTGAATATGCACGTGGGAGACAAGAGGCCACAGAGTTTCTCAGAGGCATCGTAGCGCTAATGTCAAATTCACAAGTCTGTATTTTGATATTACAACTGGAAAGAATTGTGTGGTCCACACAGAATTGAAAATTGCTTAACAGACAGGCTGTTTACAATTGATCTTAATGTAATGTTGATTTTGGTAAACCACAAGGCAGACTTTCTAGATTTCCAGATGATACAGCTTCTCTGTCAATTTTTGTAGCAGTTAAACCACACATACGCCTCAAAACAGTCCTCCTTAAAACCTTCTAAATGAAAAGTGCACATATTATATTACAGAAAACAATTAAATAAAATCAATATTTGAATGTGTGGCAAGATAAATCATGTAGTTGAAATATTTAAACATTAAAATATACATATACATATATCATGTATTTCATGAATATACATTTTGGACCTCCTCTATAGTTTTGAATGATGAGTGTATATAATAAAGATAAATAGTTTATTGTAACTCTTAATGGGCCTGGTTCTGCCACTTGGAAGCAATCCCACCTTTGTGGCCTTTTAGCAGCATAAAACCTGACTTTATAAGATGCTTCTTGCCTTAGCAATCAACCGCTCATCCCCTCTGTTATGCTACCACTGTGTACATTCAACCCCCTTTTACTCCATCTCCCCCTGTCCTCTACTTGACAGTTGACTTTTTGTTCCTGAATCCAGATGTAATCCATAACTGTACAATTGCATGACAGAGAGCTCGAGAGTGAGCAAAACACTACCTCAGGTTTTCATTCAGTCTTGTGTCTGTTAATCGCACCGCCTGATATCATTCATCTGCTTCGAGAGTTTGTTTTAAGAAGCAGAACAAACACTCTTGCCAACCCCCTCTCCTGGCTGTCTGATACGACAGTTGCGCACACGCACACACTCACATATGCATGCACATTCATCCTTGTACACTCATGCCTGTGTTTTAAAATTTTTGGAAAGCCAATCTATTTTTATTCTAATACAGCTATTTATATGACAGACAAACATGTCAGTGCATAAGTGAATGAAAACACCATTCACAGGGAATCTGGCGTCAGCCTCTTAGCCAGCTGTTGCACGGAAAGTCAGCTCTAAAGGCAAACTGCCCAAACGCTGTTACCCACTAGGACTTAACCATATGATAATAGCAGACAGCATGGATTCCACTTATGGTCTCCTTGTACTCCATTTTAATAATTCAACTCATCTGAAAATCAGGAGTAAATGTATGTAATCCCATGTAATCTGATATGATATGTGGTGTGGAATCTGAAAACCTGGAAATCACTATAAAGAGCAATAAATGTGCATACAAACACAACTATATGCAACTGAGCATGCATGCACAGTCTACATCGATACACGTGTATGCACACTCCAGGGACACCCACTGTTGCATTCCTTCTATGATTATTGAGAGTGTATTGACAATATCGCTATGGAAACAATACAGGTGTTATGGGTGGACAGTGTGTCTGTGTGTGGTAGTTACACAGATCATGATATCATACAGACTGTCTGTATGTTATATTTAACAGGTACTGGCACCATACCTAGCAACACACACTCCCTTCTCAGCAACCACTTGTTATCTACTGTCATAAGAGTTTGTGTGTGTGTGACAGAGTGAGAAAGAGAGACAGACTAAAACCGACATCCATACAGTACGTGCAAGTGCATTTCTATGCAGTATTATCATGTTTTATGGCTCTGAGACTTTGCTTGTTTGTGCCTATGCTGTATGTGCATCTGTGAATGTAACTGTGCGTGTGCATGTGCTAGAGACAGCTCTGGAAGGTCAGCTCTTTCAGCAGCTCTCAAAAGTCACCCTGGTTTTACAATGGGAGGTGGAGAGTTGTAAAACTAGTGAATGTACTGGTTTGAATTTTGATCTCTGAGTCCTGTGTCGCTGTCCGAGTCTGGGAGTGAGAGGCAGAGACAGACAGCATGGACAGTGAGGAAACTTTCCTTACACACACATAATACAGCAAAGTAGACTGGTGAGATACAGAAAGACAGCATTTAGTGAAACAGTGAATGTAACAAGAATTGTAAAGCATCAATGTTTGTGTGCTTAGGCAGTTTGTAATGAACTGTGGTACCAATTATTGATACCGGCTGATTCTATGACAAGGAAACATAATTTAATCAATTTTAGATTTAGGCAGTGATTAAGCAGATTGACCAGTTGCCCATCATTGTTCATTGTGACATGAATCATTTAGGACTTAACTGACAACACTCAGTTTTTTGTGTTATTTTTGTGTTTTATTTAATTTTCTTCTATGTCTTCTTGTTTACTTGGTTTTTGCTAAAACGGGTTCAATCAAAGAGCCGAGCAGTATGTCATTTTCCCCCAGTACATCAGTTCACAATCTCTGTCTGAAGCATACCTTAATATTAGCTGAAGGGTGTTTTGAATCTTTTTAGACAAAAGTCTTGAAATAGCATAATGAGGTGAATCGATATGTTTTTAATCTGGAAGTGAAGTGGGCTAAGGTTGAAAACCACATTACTGAAGCTATACCCCCAAAAATGGTTGCATTAATTGGATAAAGAGATGAATGGAAGTGCTCGACATTTTGGCCCTTGACAGTGAAATATTAGTGTGCATCAGTATAAATATGGGAAAGGTGCATGCTGCTGGTGCAAAGAAAAGAAAGGAAGTGTTTAAAAAAACTATCTGCAATGTCATAGAAATTGCATTTGTAAATTAATCAAATTACTGCAAGCACCAGAATGGATCATGTTTGCAAGTCACACACAGCTTTGTCTATGTTTCTACTTCTTTTTCATGGGACAGTAATGGACAGGATGGTGTAATGATTCTGATGTTCAGCAATGTGACGTCGCCCTGTTTTTTTTCCTTCTATTCATATTTGGTTGGTTAGAAATGATGCTTTGAAGAAATACTGCATACAGTATACAACTCTTGGCCTGAGCTCAGCTCCTGAAAGAAATTGCTTTTCTCCTGCTGTTTCTTTCTCAGTGAAGCTAAACCGACTTACATTAGTGAAATATTGACTCCACTGCATCATATACAAAGCACACTGACCCTCCTATAGCCCAAATAATTATAAAGGGATGCTTCATGTGGATACTGTGCAAGTATGCACACAAAGCATCCGATTACAATGCATGCAGTTTGTGCACACGACCTTGCATATAGTTGCAGGTGCATACACTACAGACATGTACAGAGATAAAAGCTCACATACATTTGTGAGAAGACACTTCAAAGTCAAACACTATCCAGATCCTGTCCACGCAAAGTGCCACTGTTCCTCAGGCTGTCATTTATGAACAGATAATGCAAAACACCAACCAGGCTGTGTGGTGAGTGATATTATCAGGGGTTTTAGGAAAACACTGTCTCACATGTACAGTTTGTAATGATAAAGCCCCAGAACAGACACAGGAGGTGGATAAAACAGGACAAAGTCACAAAACAACTCTGAATTAAAAGCGCTGATAATGGGACTATTGTTGACTATCGTCGCTGCTACCACCAATGACAATTTAACAGCTGGTCCAAGTCACAACCACCATGTAGTTCCTTGTATTGCTTAAAAATCTAAGGTCTTATCAGTGGTATTTTCACATTTGTTTCAAAAAAGGCTTGTATGGGCTGTTTTTCATAAGCTACTGTAGCAGAAAATAAAAAACAAAAACAAAACACAGAAGGTTTCAGTTAAAGACATTCAGCATAGATGTATTATCCATGTTTTCTGGGCCTCCTCTGGGCCCAGAAAACACAGCATTTAAACACTGGTGCTCAGAGCGACCTCAAGTTTCATTAAGGAAACATAGATAAAGTGCTGTACTGTACGGGACCCTTCTTTTTTTTCCACTCCGCCCACGAACGAGTGAATTTCATCCCTCCTTAATCCCTCAAGTATGCTGAGATGAAGACAGTCACGACAAGCGCTAGACTGAGACTAGAGTGAGAGAAAAAAGGGTCAAAGACAGAGAGCTAGTGGGAGGGTGGAAAAATGCTCAATGAGTTCAATATGACATAAGGAGGAGACATAAAAAGAGATAAGCAAGGTGATAACAAAGGAGATGAAAATCAAAACACATGTAAAATTTGTCTGGCGTCCCAAACTTCAAAGATAATTTTAAAGATGGATAGAAACAAGTTCATCACCTTGCCAAGTGTTTCTGACTGGACGATGTCAGAGGGTCCGTGTGCCTTTAACAAAGGTTCCTCTATTTTTTTCTGACCCTTATTGACAATGTCCCATGTCTGTGAAATGTTGATCACAAACTTCTCTGGTTAAATGTTCTGTTGTGTTAACAAGGTTGAGAACAATGAAATTCGTAACAATAAAAACTTCTAGCTTTCCTAATTTATAATGTACCCAATTTAAAGGGTAGTAATAAAGTGTTGTCAGCAAGAAACTAACACCACTAAACCAATTTCACATTAGATAAACATCAAGTGTTGTTTTCTGTTGTGACAAAGGCAGCACATCCAAAAGATGGCCAAAAGACAAAAACAAGAAAATGAGGGTTTCTGTGTAATATGGAAAGCAGGTCTAGTATAAGAAAATACCAGTACATTCAACCTAAAATAGTTCTATTCATTTATAGAACTATTTTACAGATAGATGATGTGATAGCTCCTCAGAAGGGAAGCCACCACAAGTCGATCACACCCTGGTGGCCGGTTGCAGTAAAGGTTATAAACCCTGCCCGCTGGCCATCTTTATATACAGTCTATATGGCACATAAACAGGGGCTACTATAGTATCACTTCAGTATCAGTACCACCAATTTGTTTTATATGATTTTTAAGGTAAAGGTCCTGTCTGAAGAGGCTTCTGCCCAGCTCAAAGTGGTGACAACTGTTTTTGCCCCCCTACTTGGCAACATAGAGACATCGTGACAAGTCCTGGAATATATAAGTATTTCTGGCACTGCAATATATTCTATAATACCCTACCTGATGCCAAACCTACATCATCATTTAATCTTTATCTGTGCCCATTCCCCTGGTCCTGATTAGCCATCTGGCTTTTCAAACCAGGAGTGGATTGAACAAAATAAGATCAGTTACAATGAAACTCTCCTCTGGTGACCACGGCGGGTTGATTCTGTGTGTGAACATGTATGTATGTACACATATGTTCCCATAACTCTATGACTGAAAGCGTGCATGTTAATCGGATTAACCAGGATGCACTGGTTGGAGATGTATTTGCACTGACATACACATAAACACAAAGGACAGAATTCCAACACACATGCACAACCCCGCAGGGTGTGTGTACCTGTGGGCCTGTGGCACGCTCCAGACAGGCTCTCTGCCAAACTGGGCTGTGACAGAAACACACACACACAAACACACAGTGCAAAGTTGGCCCCTCTAAACACTACAGTCAAAACCAGTATAAGAGAGCAAAGGCATTCCTCACTCTTCTGAGTCTCTGAGCTGTCCTCTGTGCTCTCAGGCCAAATGATTAAAGCGCTCTAATCAGCAGAGGCTCTGAAAGGACAGATATCTCCCAGCATTTCATCTCTCTCACTTTCTATCTCTCACTGCAGCTCTCTCTCTCTTCCTTCAGCAACAACCTATCTATATGATAGGTATTTTCCTTTCCAAAAGACAAGTATGGCTAAAGACAGACAGAGATAGAGACATTCAATGAGAGTGAACATGAGACAGAGAAAGAGAGATGTATGATGGTATGTCCAGCAGATTTCAACAGAGAGCATCATTGTCCTGGCAGACTAAGAGGCAACACACAGGTGTGTCTTCACCCTTGCTGCACTACAGTTGGCCACTCTGTGTTTATGAGAGTGTGCGAGTCTGTGCGCTTCTGTGTGAGTGAGGTGTAAGCGAGCCAGCAAATCATGGATGTCTTAAGAGAGCTGGATACAGCACAGCCACTCACCCATTCAGACAAAGTTATCCCAGTGGCCACACATGGTACTGCAACACAAAGTACTCCTGCAGACCAAAAAGTAGTTTGGTTATAAAAGAGATGTGTAAAACTGTTCACAGGACGCCACAAACCAGGTCAGTTATTGTTCTTTGGGTTAAGAGTGTTTCATTTTCATGACATTATCCCAATGACTCAAAGATTTCTATCATATGTGTGGCAGCTAGTAGTCAATGCACTCCTTGGGAGAAGGAGAGGGTGTTTGTAAATCGCATTGCTCAGCAGAGGAGAATGTGAGGGACTTTTACAGGCTTCCAGGTCAAACCATGCTTCAATTACTGAACAAAATAAAATTTGATTTGACTGGCAGGAGACTATGTGATTGCACTTCCAAAATTTGTTGATTTCTTCAACCAAGTTCAGCCACAGTAAACTTATACTTTCTTCTGCTCTCTCTCTCTCTCTCTCTCTCTCGGTCCACACATGCACAGTGGCACAAGATCCTGACTGGAGGTATTAAAATGAACACTGCTACAGCTGTGCTCCTTTACATCATCAATGTTGGTAAATATGCTGCTAAACTGAAAAACTGTAGTGCTGCAATATTTTGCACACCTGACAGTAACATGCAACAAGTTTAGTAACTATCCCCATAAGTATTTGAAAGCAGTGTAATAAATGACTCAGGCCTCTGGGGGCATTGTTTTTCTCTCTTTGCCTCCACCTCTGGGTCAAGCGACACCTCAGCACCCTCTGGCTAAACTGACTTAGCATGTCAATACTAAGCCACCTAACAACTGAATCGTTTCTCTTATGTTTTGAATCACCATCCACACTACTGCAGCATATAAGTTGGCTCAGACATGATCAGAGAAGTGTGGCATTAAAGTTAAGAAGACAACCATTGTCATTAACCACAATATATGTTGACTTAGTCATCAACTTTACAGATACAAATGTTTGATTTCATCAGAGTTGCAACATAGGATCTTCTGTTTGTCTGATCAGCAGCGTTCTTGTGTCAAGACAGCTGGCTGACACGTAAAAAAAAAGCTGTTACAAAAAATACAGAACAACATATTTACCTACAACTTTATAAAGATAACTAACGAGGATGAGGGAAAGCTGAGGGGAACAAAACAGATGTTTAACATTGCTGCCAGTTCAGCTGTATAAAAATAACCAGGGTATCTGTCCCTCTTCTACACATATGTGGTATGTAACACACTCTTGCAGTCTGACAAACAAAGGAGGACAAGGAACAGGTTGAACAATGTTGAACTGTTCAAGCATTTAAGTATGGATGCGTTTTAAGATTTAGCCATCTTAGTGCAGATGCCTTCTTAGCTTCTTGTTCAGTTACTTGAACCTTCTTATGTCCTCCACTTCATAACGCCCACGCTCCCTGTGCCACCCTGTCCCCCAGACATTCATCCTACTGGTCCACCAGTACTCACTGTTTGAGCCCCAACAACAGGATGTCATTATGTTGCGTCAGTAAATGCGGTAATTACTAATTTTGTAGATACTCAGGGAAACAAATTTTTCCTAAAACGGTCATTCTCTGTAATTCCAATAAATCCCCAGAGGTGGTCTGCATTTACCTCCTCTCTACAGTAATCACAGATGAAGTGAAGTAACGTTGGGGAGACGTACAAAGCTGCTCGTCCTTCTACCAGTCATACATGGACACGCAGTAGACTTACACCGCCTCTGTGACACTGCATCCCACACTGACCTTGACGGGTCTGTGAATGAACAGTGGGAGGATTGGTTGGAAACCCCACCCCCCCACCCCCACACACACACAAAGTTTCGCATTCAAACACTGCCACTTTGCAGAAGTGGGTGCAAGTGTGAGAGAGTGAGAGAAATGAAGACGGAAACACTGGATGTTGTTTAATGAAACACTGCACAAGACCAAAAAAAAACAAACAAAACATTACACAGACAAACACCCACACAGAAAGAAAGTATGCTATCGGCACATCTCCAGGTTTGTCTGTCTGTCTGACTGTCATACACCTTGGAGAGCTAAGCCTGCATGGATTGTTTTATGATGACATATCCACTGCGCCTAGAGGGCCACCTGACATTCCTCACACTGGACCCCTCTCTCTCTACACACACACACACACAGACACACACCATCTGATCCAATCTCCCTATCCTCTCTCCTCCATGTCTTATTGCAGGCAATGAACCACAGCTATTTCTCTCACACTCCTGTTTCTGTCTCCTTCTCTTCTGTCCTGCTTCAGTCTGTTACCCCTCTGAACACCTAACCCCTCAAAAGGATGCAGCTTAATGAACTCCTTCACACTGGGAGCCCATACTGCCCTCTCTAATTAAGGCATATAGTGAATTTGTAGTTTGCATGGAATTCACTGCTTATCAGTCCTCAATTATAGTGGAACATTCAGCTTTATTTAATTATAGAAGGCATAAAAAGAATAATGTGTGGATAATCTATTTTTTGACTAAGCAATAGGCACTTTTTGTATGGAAATACTGATTTGTCTTATTATTGAGTCAATGTTTATAGATTCTGTTAGCTCTTTTTGACATCTGGCTATTATAACCCTGAATGCCGAACACATTCTCTCAGTTATTATTCTCATATGTCTTTGGACCTGACTCTGAGCAGTCTGAGTGTTTACAATGAGTGGAAAGCCGGTAAACTATAATGGTGCTGTGGATGGATATGTAGAAAACATGATTATGCCGCTTTTTCTGCAGAAATCAAACAAAACTACATCGTGTGTGATGATATAAACCCCAAGCTGACAAGAGAAACATAAAACACGTGGAGCTCTTACCACCAGAGTCCGATGATATTGACCGGACAGAGCAAGATAAAGAACAGGGCCAGCTGGATCCGTGACAGACGAACCGTCATGTTGAGCCGCTGAAAGTCCTCAAGGAGTTTCCTCTGTAAATTTTAAAGTACTGACGAACTCAGCCAAACTAGTTGGATTATTTCTTGAAAATACATATGAGGTCCTCGTTTTGTGACGCTACGACTCAGCAAAATCTTATAGGAAACGATGCGTCAACAAGAGCAAAGGGCTCATCATCCAACTCCTCTTCTGCTGGGAGCATCTTAATGCGCAACAAAGTTGGTCAAGAGGCTACTAACGAGATGTCCGCGTTCAAAGGTGTGGTTAACCTCTTCATTGTCGCTCTGGTCTGTCTGTCGCTCCACATTACATGCTTTTGAGGAAGAGAGAGAAGTGACTCAAAGTAGTAAAGTCCTCTCTGAGTGAGAAACAGCGCACGGAACAGCTCTGGTTGTGACGACAGTCGGAGTCTCTCCTTTTCTATAAACAATGAAATGATAGTAAAGGCGAAGAAGAAGAAGACCACTGCTGTTTTTCATACAATACTAGATAGACATGCTGGTGTAGGGCGCTCCTGGATGTTGCTCGCTCTCTACACGCTCTGAACTGACACACTGATGAAGTGGTTTTCGGTGCGCACCGGCTGCAGGTACAGACGTCTGTCTGCCACGGTCTGTCCCAGTGTTTTCTTTGGATGATAAAGGGAAGAAAAATGCACGAGTCGTCTTCCACCTCCGTGTGACGTCGCTCCAGGCGAAACGAAAAGCTCACTGTCACTCAGAAAGGAAGAGGGAGAGAGAAACAACTGTAGTTGGTTTTAGGAGGACCCGGCTCAGAGCAGAAATTGGGTAAACGCACACACACTCAGGCGCACACCGAGATGTGCTATACGACGTGTTTATGGTAGATGTATGGAATGAGTGCAGGTGTGGTAGTAGTCTACCTACCTTTATTACATTTGTGTTTTCACACCATGGAGCTGGGTGTCTGGTAATGTCTCTCTTTGGCTCTCTAGTCCATTATTTATACACATTGATAGAAAGACAAACTTGTTATTTCATACAAACCTTTTTGTAAATGAAAGTAGCATATAGTTAAACACTTTTCCTCAGAGAAAATGCTTAAATTGCCCATGGCATGCTCATTTCCAGTCATTTAATGTTTAATCTTGGGCACCTCTGAATTAGCTCTGCACCCATCATAACGCCAAATAATCTGTAATTATTTCAGAACGATCAAACCCGAGAGCCTCTTCCTAAAAACAGTTCCGTGTGGACAGCAGGACGAACTGTGACAGAATTAGTTAATTTGAATTTCTCCACCACAGATAGGTAGAAATAGGTAAACATGTTATATGTACCGATGAAAAGTGATTTGTAACATTCTAAACAAATCGGGTAATTGAGAAACCCCATATTTTACCTGGCATAATGCAGACATAGTAACTTTTCCAGCCTTACAACAATTCTCTCTAATGTTATAGAAACAAGGCATTAACAGACGTGTTTTTGTAAACTTACCATTATGTCCCAGTAGTGGAAACATCACCCCCTTTCAAGTAGCTCCAAGGTCGATAAATCCAACCGATGGTCACTGCGTTTTCCCTCACACAACCACATAGAATCCCAAAGTAGTGAAATTACTTCAGGTACAGGTAGCGTAGCATCATGGATCATTAATCCTCTTATCAACCAGCAACACATCACATGCAGCAGACACACTGACCTCAAGTAGTCACAACAAATAGGTACTGTGCTCCAGGGGAATCCAGCCTTGATGAGCTGATCACTAACCGCCGTGGGAGCTTCACAGACTGAGCGCATGTAGGTTAGACCTGGTCAAGTAAAACAGCAAGTCCCTGTACATGAACATTCCCAGTAACCTCAGGCCCTGTATTTTTTCCACATCCTCTGCTCACAGTGCAGCAGTGGCAGATAAAATAGTTCCACCAAACTGGGCGCAGTCGAACAATGGCACAATGGCACCGGTGGATGTCAGGTAAGCTCACATGAATGCACAATTTCCTGGACATTATGACCATTCAAGGAGATCTTTAAACTCTGATGTAACACTTAATTTTGTTAGGAAAAAAGTCTCATGAGCGAGAGTTTGCGAGACATGTATAAACCGAGTGGCTTATGCATAGAAGTACTAGAACATACATGCACCTCATTTTTTGAGCTTTAGGTCACATCTAAGATTTTAAATCAATGTTGTAACATTGTAGATAAGTCAGAAAACAAGGAAAAGCATGCCATGGGCTCCTTAAGATCTGTATTAGTGTGTGTGTGTGTGTGTGTGTGTGTGTGCAATAACCATTACGTACACCCTGGGGACAAAAGATTTTTACACACATTGTGAGGACTCGGCCTTCCCTGTGGCCCCCAACTGTTAGGGTGCGCTCGAACACAGAGTGAGCGAGCAGATAAAAAGCGGACCCAGGTGGCTGGCTTCGGTGCAAGCAGTGAGGTTTATTTACAGTGAAGGTAGTGACATATATACAGGAGGAGTAATGAGGTAGATGACCGGGTGTCGATCAGCAGCAGCAGAAAATCAGTCAGTGGTATGGTGGATGATGATGTACCGGGCTGCGGACGCAGAGGTCACTCCTGGGCTGGTCGAGGTGGAGGTGATGATGGCTGTAGACAGAAGAGCAAGGATAAACTGGGTAAGAGAGACTGTGCATCGACCTGGGAGGCGGTGGCTGGTGGAGTAGATTAATTCCAGGGGGGTCCAGAGGAGAGGTTCGAAGAGGAAGAAGACACTAGAGACGGCAGGGTAGGATAACGACTAGGGTGCTAACAAGGACTAGAGAGAACAAAGACAATCTTAGCATAAACTTGATAAAACATAACAACCACTGGCCTGAAGACAGAGAAAGAACTGGCAGGGGAGTGACTGGTGAACAGTGTATAAGTATGGAGGAGACTAATGAGGTGCAGCTGGTGAGTAATCAGGGAAGCAGGGCAGGTGTGTTGAATAGTGTAATCAGTGCAAGGGCTAGGCTAGTGTGAGGAAAAAGAAGAGAGGAAGGTGGAGCTGGGCAAACCTGACACCAACATGTGAATCATTGAATGTTAGGATGATAACTTGTTTATAAAGGTTAGGATGAAGTTGGAGTTACTGTAAGTTTAGGGTAATCCTCCTGGAAAGGATTATAAGTCAACGTAAAGTCCCCACAAGGCATGAAAACAAGTGTGTGTGTGTGTGTGTGTGTGTGTAGAGACTGAATAGTATTATCACATATCTGGCCAAGGAATATCCATTGAAATTCAACACCACTGTACTGTAGTCACCCATAAAAGTCCTGACACCCGACTTCGTTCCACTGCAGTGATGCAATCTATTACAAGTCATCATTACCAGCTCTATACCTTCTTCAGGGTGATGGAGGGTTCATGGGAGTTTGCCCAACCAGTCCACATGTGTTTCGTGGATCTGGAGAAGGCATTCGACCGTGTCCCTCGCAGTGCCCTGTGGGGGGTGCTCCGGGAGTATGGGGTCTAGGGCCCTTTACTAAGGGCCGTCCGGTCCCTGTACGACTGGAGCAGGAGCTTGGTTCGCATCGCTGGCAGTAAGTCAAACTTATTTTCCAGTGCATGTTGGACTCCGGCAGGGCTGCCCTTTGTCACCGTTTCTGTTCATTATTTTTATGGACAGAATTTCTAGGCGCAGCCAGGTGGTTCTCAGTCGGAAAAGGGTGGCTTGTTCCCTTCAGGTTGGTGGAGAGTTCCTGCCTCAAGTGGAGGAGTTCAAGTATCTTGGGGTCTTGTTCAAGAATGAGGGAAGGATGGAACGGGAGATTGACAGGTGGATTGATGCAGCTTCTGCAGTAATGCGGTCGATGTACCGGTCTGTCGTGGTGAAGAAGGAGCTGAGCTGTAAGGCGAAGCTCTCGATTTACTGGTCAATCTACGTTCCGACTCTCACCTATGGTCATGAGCTTTGGGTCATGACCGAAAGGGCAAGATCCCGGAAAGTGAGCTTTCTCTACAGGGCGGCCGGGCGCACCATTAGAGATAGGGTGAGGAGCTCGGTCACCCGGGAGGAGCTCAGAGTAGAACTTCCTAGGGAGGTGTTCCGGGCATGTCCCACCGGGAGGAGGCCCCGGGGAAGACCCAGGACACGCTGGAGGGACTATGTCTCTCGGCTGGCCTGGGAACGCCGCGGCATTCCCCCGGAGGAGCTGGAGGAAGTGTCTGCAGAGAGGGAAGTCTGGGCATCTTTGCTTAGACTGCTGCCCCTGCGACCCGGTCCTGGATAAGCGGAGGAAAATGGATGGATGGAATGGACTCATCCAGTCAAGTACCACTGTCTTTCACAAAGGCCTCAGTTCTTTCACTAATGCACAAACCACCTGTAACAACTTACACCAATAACATGCGTTCACTCGAGCCAACTCTGACTGTAGCACCAAACTTAAGAGTGACAAAGTGAAAGTCTTGATTTCTAAACTTTCACATGAAACTTTCAAGAGAACAAAGTCATATTTTATTCAAAGTGGAACAAGTGAAGTGTAATCTTTGGCTATAACCTTTGCAAAAGTTGACCCTTAGTGGCAGATTTCATTTATTTATCTAAACTTTTCATCCATATAAATATTTTTTTGTGTCAGTGCCTTATGAAAAGGTTGAAACAACATGAGACAAATCCACTGAAAACATTAAAGTTTTGTTTGATATGGTCCGTTTAAACCATGTATACTTTTTTGCAGTGGACCAAAGCCCACCATAGAATTGTACAGCTTATGATGCATTTTTCCCAGCATGCTGTCAGACATGGTGTCCATTCATTTCCCTGCAGCATGAACATGTACTTATACAGACTGGAAGCTTATTTGAGGTAATTCATCACATCTGATGTTGTGCTTTTTATTAGTCAAAGTATCATAGTGTAATGATGAAGTGAAATGGGATTTGACATGAAAAGTCATCTGGAAAGGTGAATCCATGTGCTGTCCAAAAATACCTACTTGGGAATTACAGGTAGACAAATTATTTCATAATGCAAGAAGTCAGCATATTTACATGATCTTTTGATGACGTCCATGTTTTTATATTGTTTGTCATTTAGGCTTGAGTCCTTGACAACTTGGCTTGTGAATATGAAGAGTTTCGTAAGCCAAGTTTCAGATGTCAGATCTCTGCACAAGCACGAGTCCACTGGAATTCACTGGAATGAGTCACAAATATGCTTAGCAACAGTCATCAACTTTCTGACAAGTTCTGCTTCTTCTGGTCATTTGAGAAAATGTGTTTTCATTGACACTGTATTTTCCTGTTTCTGTTTAATGTTGATGATTAAGGGTCTCAATACAGAGGCGTTCTGTAGCACAGAAAGAGAAAGAACGAGGCAAAACAGGGTTAACATCGGTTTGGCATGTCAGAGATAGAGAACATTAAAAGTATCTGCGCAACTAAAATTTGACATGGATCTGACTTTCTTCCTTCTGGGTGTGTAAATACTGTAGCTGGCTAATGTGTATATGTCAGCATCATTAGCAGTTACGCTTACTGTAGAAATTCAGCCTCTGGTTATGTGTGGTCAGGCCATTGTGAATCCACCATATTGTCTTCTAATTTCCAGAGTATTACAGAATTGTCATATGCAGCATCTGCTATTCCTCCCAGTATCCAGGCTGCTTTAGTCCTTTGTTGCTTCACAGGAGCAATTAACAGTTGAATGTATATTACAGTAGCAAAAAATGCATATTCCATGTGTTCTATTCAAAAACTTTTCACCTTACAGAGTAATATGTTTAAAAGCTGTAGTCAGACCTTTATGTTTTGCTTTACTTCCAATTTCTCATAATGACCTGTTATATACTGTATT